AAAACTTCTACATAATGAAGTATATATCTAGTGATAAACTGCCAACAATTAGACCAAAATTTGATAAGTACCTGCTTTTCTATTACATGCAGTATTCTTATGTAATTATTACGATATTACCACAGACCAAGTATCCTCACAAGTGCCTCTGTAAGGCCCAGACACACCAAACCAACGTCCAAGAACAAGAGGCAGTGAAAGCCAACGCCTTGTGCCACCTGTGTCTCAGCCAGAAAGCTGCACCTGAACACACTGTGAAGACTACAGCCGACAGCCAACTACCACGTATATTCTGCCAGACCTGAGAGGAAATAACGCTCCACGGCAGCAGTCTGTATGTCACTAAAAAGAGAAATCTGAAGACTGACAAGACGGATTCAAGAAGCTAGTTCGCCAGTTAGGACATTAATAACACAGCCCAATGTTAAAAGAACAAGGATATTGAATGTGTGCCATTCAACAATAACAAAAATGTATGAGCTGTTTCAGCTAAAGAGCTTAATGGCATACGTTTATTTTGATCTCAAGCCCTCTTGACTTCAATGACTAAACCTCATTTCCGTTTCCATTCTTGTGCGCCGAGTTGAACTGCCAATCACAGTGACTGGATTGGACTAGGATGTCAAACGCTCCAAGATGGCTCAACTTTGACACACGGCTGACTGTCGGCTCGATGTGTCAGGGCCCTTAAATCAACTAAAGCATGCCCATGTAAAACTACAACAGATTTGTAGACTAAAGGCAGATCTCAAACAACTTTATATGCAAAGAGAAAAATACACTGTCTCACATCCCTGCAGACAACTACATTAAGTGCCTACTTTGAGTTTCATTTAACATGAGTAGCCCTAATGGCAACCCTGACTGCTATGCTCAACTGACTATGCAACAGGACAATATTTGTAACTCATGTGAACTTGACTTGGCGGCCACCTTGATGACCATAGTTCCCCCAGCACCAGTTGGACAGTAACTACTTGCATCATCTAGTCCAACTGCATCATAGTATCAGAATTTGGATGTAACTTCATGTTTGGTTACCTGACAGAAGCACTGTGCCCTGTCCTTTGGGAGCAGCCATGGCCAGCTGGTCAAAGGTCATCACCTGACCGCCTGCCTTCAGGATCCTGCGACGGGCACCATCAGTTACCCTCAGAGCGCAGATCTGTGGGAAAACAAACAGGACATTGAGACTATCTCAGAGACAACATTACAGGAAAACCCTCCGTGGACTAAATTATATATTTATGGAGGAAACAAAAGTCAACAGTGCCATACAGTGAATTCTGCCATTCCAAAAAAAAGGAAGAGTTACCTTGAGCTTGGGAATTTCCTGAATCCTGACATCATCAGTGACAGATCCCACAACAACAGCGATTCTGTTCTCACGGCCAGGCATCTTCATCTTACGGATCTGGTTGTGATGGAAGCAAAGTCAGCCAGTCAGTCAGTCAACCAACAACATGGATAACACGCATTCAGCATTAGGACTTCTAACTTTCCCTAGTCTGTAAGCTTTTCTAAGAATGGTAGTGAATGGGCGACAGTGTGCAAGCAGTTTGGCTGCATGACATGGATAACATGGCGTTTACAATTACATCTAATTCAACCCCCAGATGAACTTCCTTAGATCATATTAGATACATTTCAAATATTAATCTTGAGATGCAAAATAAATAGATCCAAATTGGGATAAACACAGACAAGGTTTCTATTCAAATTTGTCAACCCAATCTGAGCTACATTACAAAATTCACAGCCACTGGAAAGCTTACCACCACATCAATACAACTTTCCTTTATCCAACCTTTGAAACATCTACTGACACAGAGCACTGACTTAACACAAATGCTCGCTCTTATTCCAGTTACAAATTCTGTATAACTCACTGCACAAAACTCATTAGATCATTTTCACCTTAGTTCACATGAGGTCAGGGAGTCTGTAGCACTAAAAACTCTGACAGCCGAAAATCTTACTGTTATTCAATGACAACTAAGATTCAACTAAATCTTAAATGACATCAACCGATGCCAACACTGACCTATAAGTCTACTTGGCAAAATATGCATTTCTTTCTCCAAACACAACACGCTATTCATTACAACTGGCTCAACAGTACACACTTTTAATAAAAGCAAAAAAAAGGAATCATTGGTGATGGACTGACCAGGCGAGAGATGGAGATGGGAGGCCTGTTGGTCCTGCTCATGAAGAGCCTCCTCAGGACGACCTTGTTGAAGGGAGCATTAGAGCGGCGGGCCAGGAACCTGTACAACTGAAACAACCAAGCAGAATGGTCAAGTCAGAATTTTTTTTAATCACATTTTGATTTGATTAAGATCACAGATATAAGTGATATTATTCCATAAAGTAAATCATACTGTGTAAATATATCTTACCTTAACCAGGAGCCTCAGGTAGATATCCTGGCTCTTTGGCTCCTTCCTGTGCACCTTACGGTCCTTGTTGTGTCTGATGTCGACTCCCTTGAAGAATAAACAGTCACATTAATACAATATTTCAGAGTAATACATTAACAAGCAGCTCTTATCTATTAAACCTTCAGCAACCAGTGTACCACTGACAACAGCAAAGCGCCATTGCCCATCTTACGTTGTACATTACAGCCCATCACTCTCTAGCAACACTTCATACAACGTCTAAATTTAAGCATAATACATGTTACTAATTACAGCAGACACTTCCAATTAATTGTATAAACGAGCAGCCCTCCGTGTACTGTTGGTACAGGCCGGTTCACACGTTGACACTACACAGCTAACTGCTACACGAGCGACATAGCAAACAAGCTAACACTCTAAAGTATGGCTATATTTGACATTTAAAACTACATGTTAGCTTTGGGGAAATACACTTAATGGTTTATAATAATATTCCGCATTCTGACCCGCTTCCAAGGCTCATTTCTGACCAACCTCAAGGCGTAAAGCGGCTGCCTTATCGGCACTACACTGGCATCAAAGAGGGTAAGCTAATATCATATACATGGTCCTATAACACGAAATCATGACATGGCTGTAACATACATCATGTTTAAAACAAGTAGACGTTGCAATTAACAATAGAGGATGCTTTAATTCAGAGGATGGTCGTGGATAGTCAAACTATCATGTTTAACATTTTCAGCTAGCAGCACCTACCATCTTGGACTCAGAGCGAAAAGGGAAAAGGAAGAGCCGAGGTCTCGCGATAAACAATGCGCTGAAATCTCGGGCCTCTGATTGGTTAGAGAGCACGCGCTTCCTGCAGGACGAAGTTAAGACAGCTGCGATGATTCAAGATGGCGCCTCCGGTGGTGAAGACGGAGATAAGGTTCTTAGTTTATTACTCGGGTAATGGATCGGCATATTTATCTTTATTTTATTAACTTGAATTGTCTGTTTAATTATCACCGAATAAAAACACTAAACATAAGCACGCTTTATAAGTCTTGTAATCAATATGCTGGCTGAGTTTAATAGGCTATAAATAAATATAAATTCACCAACAAAACACTTTTCTCCATTTGTTATAACTAATAATGTGAGCAGAACTTCACGAGTATATTGTTTTTTAATTTCTTCACTCTTTATCCATTTTTATTTTCAATTCTTTATAGTCTACATATAGATATATTTTATTAATATTTTGATATTTGTCATCATTTTCTAAACCTGTTTATCTTAAGATTCTTACTATAAATTATGAAATGTACTGTACTGTAACACCAATCTGTTTAATGTATCCAAATATTTTAAAGAATAATGTGTCATCTCTAATTCTCTATCAGCACCAGCACAGAAGGAAGACTGGGAAGACTGGACTTTAACTTTAATAATTCCATACCGCAATTACTATGACATAATAATATTGCCTCATAAAATAACAGCCACTATTTAATTTTACTCAAAACGCCTCATTATGCAACAAAGCCATCATTTGGTAACATTTAGATATCTGATCTCATACAGGCTACAGTATAATCTGATGTAATTCATATTTATTTGTATTGTTTTTAATCTGGAGTTGGGCAACAAAAAAAAAGAGCCTGTAACTTTATCGCTCATTTAGCAGTTGAACTGTTCAGCTATTTATGTCAGAGTGTGTAGGCTTAACATACTGAACTATATAGCAATAGTGTTTTGATATATAACAGTTCCCTCTTTGGGACAGCTGCCTAGAGAAAACGTCTCTCACCTCTTGCTCTGTTTAATAATAATGTATGTATTTCACGTGGGATTAAAATATTGCAGTACTCAGCCCCTCAGCTGCAGCAGAGCTGGAGCCTGTTTGGTTCTCAAATTCAGTGGCTATAAAACCGTCTTTATTCATAATTAGATTGTTGCTGTGGGCTATTCTTTAGTGACAAAGGGAGGATTGAAGGCATGGGTGGATTGTCAGACAATGAGCCCCTGGGCGAGATATGCCACAGGCCTCACCACCTCTCCCACACAGGAGCAAGACACATGGTTATTTTGCCTTTTTTGTTGTTGTTTTGCATCTCTTGGTAAAAATTATACATCTTCATCTTCATTTTGGGTCTCTTTGTGGTTCCTTTGCATCTCTTTGTGATCTTTTTTTGTCTCTTTTTGGTCATTCTGAGTCTCTTTCTGGTTGGTACGTGTTAATATGAATTACATTTTGCAAGTGAAGGCCAGAGGGGCCCTGACACTTTGGGCCATCTGACCTGTGCCCAGTAGGCCAACAAAAATATAAATAAAGCTGGGGAAGGTCTTGCTTTTTAACTTTAATGTATTCCTAATCAGATGGACAGATTTTCAAACTCCTTATACTGCAGTAAATAACATTTTGTAACACACAACCACACACAGTGTAGTACAATAAATGCATACTATTCTTGCCACAATATTGCGAGACGTACCAAAAAATATGAAGTTTCAAGGTGTTAATGCCAAAAGCAGCTATTTGCAAAATTATACAGTTTGTATCCTGATAAAACATTTGAAAATAGAATAAAAACAACAAATAAAATTATCTAAACAACACCCATTTTACATTTATTGGTTAAAAAATGTATGACAACATCAAGTTATTGCAGTGTATGAGGCACTGAAACTGTGGCAGTTACAGTAAATGAGGATTTAACGGCTCAGTTGTTCTCTGTTTTCTGAGGAAAAGATTACACCCACATGAATAACAGAGGGATTAAACTCTATTGCATCATTGTAATTCGCATTTGGATACAGTAGTGTGTTTGGAGATGGGGAAGTTGAAACTCATCACAGCTGAACAAAAACCGATGTGGGCTAATCAGCTGATTCACAGAGACGTGACCTTTAGCTTATTTAGGAATCCTCCTTTGTTTTCTCAGTAAATGTAATGACTGTGCAACTGAATTCTTCCCTTAAATAAGCCTTTTCTAACGTCACAGACAGTCAGTACAAAAACTTGCATCACTGAGTCGAGGATCTCATGTTTATTCCAGTTTGTGGCCGCTCTGCTGCCTGAGGTGACACAAGAAGATGGTGAAAGTCAGTGCGATGCCTCCCACAAATGCTGTCCGAGCCACAGGGGGGACGAAGGCAAAGTTCACAGCCTGAGACGGTGGAAGAGACAGAAAAATGTGTCATTCTGCATCTGTGCATGTGCAGCATGTGTACGTGTCTGTGAATCTGTAGCCAGTAAGTGGCTGATGATGGGATGAATACAAGAATGCCTCACCTGCATCGTTGACCAGTATACCACTCCGGTCTAAAGAGAGGAACAGAGGATAGATTTATGGACAGACTGAAATGTTTAATATATGGCATTTTAGGAATAAAATTAGGGGCAACGTGTACCTTGTAAGATGTCCAGAATTTCTGCCTCCAGTCTCCAAGCGGGTCATCTTTGTTTTCCAGTAAGCTTAAACCTGAAACGTAGACGTGGCTGTTATATGACTGACTGATGCTTTGATGGATCCATCATCAGGAACATGAGTGGATTATTGAACAGGCCTGCTGGGCACAGGCCAAGGGGCCCAAAGCGTCAGGGGTCCCCTGGCCTCCACTTGCAATTTGTCACTCAAATTACCACGCACCAACCAGGAGGACTCAAAATGACCACAAAGAGACACAAAATAACTACAAAAAGGGTAAGCAATCAAGAACAGACACAAAAGAGACCTGAGGCAACCACAAGGAGACACAAAATGACTAGAGAGCGACATAAAACCACTAAAAAAAGACACAACAAATGACTGCAATAAGACATAAAAATTACATGAAAGACAAGCAAACAACTACAAAAAGACACAAAGACTCATAAAACCTCAAAATGATGCATAATGACTACAATGAGACACAAACCCAGCACAAAGCCTTTGTGGCACGAACAGTCTGAATTTATTATAGCTACACTGTTAACGGTTGTGTGTTTCAAAATGACATTTATTGCGATAATGGTTTTTAAAATCTCTCCATCTGATTAGTGACCGTATGAAAATTAAAATGCAAGACATTCCCCATCTTTATTTATATTTTTGTTGGCCAACATGTACCAGCCAGAAAGAGACTCAGAATGATCACAAAGAGATGCAAAGGAACTGCAAAGAGACACAAAATAAGTGGAAAAAAAAAGACGCGAAACAACCACAAAGAGACACAAAACAAAGATGAAGTTGTATAACGACTACCAAGAGATGAGAAACAACAAAAACGATGCAAAACCAGCATAAAGACCATGTGTCTTGCTCGTCTGTAGGAGAGACGGAGAGGCCCTTTGCATATCTGCACCCAGGGGCCCATTGTCTCATAATCCGCCCATGATTAGAAACATGGTGTTGACTGGACATGCATCATTCAGATCCACTTTATTTTAAATATTAGTTGAGATTCCAGCATTTTTTAAAAGGCAGTTTCTATTTACACCCAGGCCTCCATAGTCAACAATGCTATTTACACCTGGGTGTACATCTCTGGGCATCCTGACGTTAATACGAACAGGTCTGTTCATCTTTTATGCAAAAGTTTTTTTACACTGTGTGAGTTTGGGAGCTCTATACATCCCAAACACTGAAAATAATAAGTCAGCTAAGTTTAAAGATAATAAGCCGACAATGACTCATACAGAACTCATTCCAGTCTCCTGTGTGAAAGTCCTGTGCTTGACCCATTTACCCACCATGTCTTACTCCCTCTGTGGACTGTCCTCGTAAATTTACCATTTTAATCTTAGAGACCTCTCTCATGCTGTCACGAGCACAAGCTTCTCTACCATGAGTAGATCCATGCTTCATTCAGTGCAGTGAGTTGGCAGGTGTAGTTCAGTAGAGAGAAAATAGTTCCTCCATAAAACTGCTCACAACAAGGTCTGTGGATTATCTTGAGTAACCAGGTCATGATTTCTAGAGAGAGACATTGCTGTTGAGTTTTTCAAATGTATTTTTTTGGTACTTTGAGCACCACAAACTGAGTGCCATCTAGTTCCATTATATTGGAGAGAAGGCAGACATCTCTACCGCTGATATCTCCATCACTCAGTCACTCACACCAAAACAATCTAGACTGATAAACAGCACTACAGGTAAGAGGAAAAAAATGTATTTTTGATTTTGGGGGGAAGTGTCCCTTTAATCACACGAAGAGGACTTTGTATATTACACCAGCTGGGTCTTTGAAGGTAAAGTAAATAAATGGGGTTAATACTTATAGTTTTGAGTAAACATGACTTAAATGGGCTTTCTGACACACTTACCGATATAAAAGGCACTGATGGTGAGAGGAGCTGCGACCAGCTGATCCACCACAACTTTCCCAGTCACTGCCTTCACTCCGCCTCCAGGCAGCATCCTCTCCAGCCAACGGAGCCAGTGGTAGTTGAAGTTGGCATGGAAACAGAAGCCGACAGTCGCCACCCGAGCCGTCTGACACCAGTCGATGCCAGCCGAGTCCTCTGATGCAGATCCTGCAGTGTGTTTCCCACCCAGCACGCTTTGTTGAATGAGGTCAGCGGAGGCAAACAGCGTTGTGTATCCCAGGACGTTACTGATGTACGGGTGAGCCCTGAACGCAGCCCAGGCCCGGTTCATGGTGAGAGATCTGATCAGAGACAAGTCATTTATAATAAAGCCACTGGGTGCTACTGCTTCATAATGCAGCATCTGTTAAGCGAGGTGAGCTTTTAAACACAGGTTCAAATGAAACAAGTACTAAGGAAATGACTTGAAAATGTGTCTCACTTACTAATAATGGTCTAAATGGTACATTGGAAATAATCACTTCTGTGTCTCAAACCACTAAGTCATGTCTTCTATCTTAGAAGCACTCAAACCTACCTTTCAGCGTAGCTCCTCTCACCCTCTCCTTATGTTTTCAAAGCCAAAGAGACACAAAACTATTTTCTGATTGGCTCTGTTGTACTAAGAGGAGGAGGAGCTGAGATGAAGGACTTCTCACCGGGTCAAAGTTCTGCCACTGTTGCAGAGAACAAGTGTGATAAGAGCTTTATCAGCCGGCTGGAGAAGAGTCTGAGAAAACACCATATGTGGAGGATGTAAAGGAAGCGTCAGACGAAGCAACAATCTGCAGCAGACTGTGGAGAGGCTGTGAGAAACACATCCTGCCAATGAATGCACATGGAGAATGATACAAGTGGCTGAAGCTTCAATAGCAGTGACTTCTTTCATGCTGTCATGTAAAAAAGAATCACTTGAGTAATTTTCCCTGACGTCTGTATGAAACAGTGAATGTCACTTACCACAGATTTCTCTCACTTGGTGAAGTGTTGAAGTTGAGACCACAGCACAGAGTTAGCTGTGCGGCTCTCTGCTCAGACGCACATGTGGTGTCACTATAAATAGACACCACTCCTGCAGCAATGCTTCCCTGCTTTGAGTCAAAGGCTGTAAGATGCACAAAATTTTAATTTTAGTACGTTGAACTGTTGCATGAAAGAGGCCAGAAAGGTGTTCACAATAAAGGGTCTTAACAAAAGTCGAAAGCCCTGGAAAAAAAAAGCTACATGAAGAATAATACGAGATATGTGTAACACAATATACTACAACTAATTCTGCTGGAAGAATGTAGCTCAGTCTTTCAAACCCGCCATGGTAACCTAGAGGCAAACTATACCCTAAACTAAAGCTACTCTGGGACTTTGTAAGCAGGTTTCAAACAACACCTTAAGTTTTCACCTAAGGCTTAATTTCTCCTTGGCTGAGGGACTTACACAGTTGAACAGAATCCCTGAAAAGGTTTCCTTAGTTAAGGAAAAACTCAAATACTGTGCTGACAGAGATTTCACAGTGGTAAAAGTTTCCATGGTTTGTTTGCTTGGACTCACACTTGTGATGGCTGTTATCGTCTTGCAAAGTTGGCTTATAGTTGCATGAAAACATGCCATAAACATGGCAGAAGAAGAGAAGACGAGAAAACCATTTTGGTCAGATATGGTCAGAGACTCTTTATCTGATGACATAGTTTCTCTAGATGGCATTGCTCTGGCCTCTAGCACTACCGTAAGAAACCTCGGAGTAATATTTGATCAAGATTTGTCTTTTAATTCTCATTTAAAACAAACCTCACGGACTGCATTTTTTCATCTGCGTAATATTGCGAAAATTAGGCCTATCCTGACCCGAAAAGATGCAGAAAAATTGGTCCACGCTTTTGTTACCTCAAGGCTGGATTACTGTAACTCTCTATTATCAGGTAGCTCTAGTAAGTCCTTAAAAACTCTCCAGCTAATTCAGAATGCAGCAGCACGTGTACTAACAGGAACTAAGAAACGAGATCATATTTCTCCTGTTTTAGCTTCTCTGCACTGGCTCCCTGTAAAATCCAGAATTGAATTTAAAATCCTACTGTTAACTTATAAAGCTCTAAATGGTCAAGCTCCGTCATATCTTAGAGAGCTCATAGTGCCATATTATCCCACCAGAACACTGCGCTCTGAGAACGCAGGGTTACTCGTGGTCCCTAAAGTCTCCAAAAGTAGATCAGGAGCCAGAGCCTTCAGCTATCAGGCTCCTCTCCTGTGGAATCATCTTCCTGTTACGGTCCGGGAGGCAGACACCGTCTCCACATTTAAGACTAGACTTAAGACTTTCCTCTTTGATAAAGCTTATAGTTAGGGCTGGCTCAGGCTTGCCCTGTACCAGCCCCTAGTTAGGCTGACTTAGGCCTAGTCTGCCGGAGGACCCCCCTATAATACACCGGGCACCTTCTCTCCTTCTCTCTCTCTCTCTCTCTCTCTCTCTCTCTCTCGTATTCTATTACTGCATCTTGCTAACTCGGCCATTCTGGATGTCACTAACTCGGCTTCTTCTCCGGAGCCTTTGTGCTCCACTGTCTCTCAGATTAACTCATATCGCAGCGGTGCCTGGACAGCGTGACGTGTGTGGTTGTGCTGCTGCCGTGGTCCTGCCAGATGCCTCCTGCTGCTGCTGCCATCATTAGTCATTAGTCATACTTCTACTGTTATTATACACATATGACTATTGTCACACATGTATACTGCCAGATATTAATACATACTTTCAACATATTGTACCACAGTAGCCAGAACTATAACTATAATATTATTACTTTCAATAATGTTGTTGTAACCTACTGTCATTACCTGCATCTCTCTCTCTGTCTCTCTCTCTGTCTCATTGTGTCATGCGGATTACTGTTAATTTATTATGCTGATCTGTTCTGTACGACATCTATTGCACATCTGTCCGTCCTGGAAGAGGGATCCCTCCTCAGTTGCTCTTCCTGAGGTTTCTACCGGTTTTTTTCCCCGTTAAAGGGTTTTTTTTGGGGAGTTTTTCCTTATCCGCTGCGAGGGTCATAAGGACAGAGGGATGTCGTATGCTGTAAAGCCCTGTGAGGCAAATTGTGATTTGTGATATTGGGCTTTATAAATAAAATTGATTGATTGATTGACTGATTGATATGAAAAGATTATACTGTTGGAGGAATGCAATCATAAAAAGCACAAACTACAAAGTAAATTTGATCCCAAATACCAGTAAGAAGGAGCAACGGAAATGAATTCAGTCAAATCTAAAGGGTAAAATCAAAACATATCCACTGTGTTCTCTTGGTTGCAGAACTGTTAGTTACTTTTCTGTTAGTTTCTTCCATTTATCACCATTAACTTGGTCATGTTGCAGTTAAGAGAGTCAGAGGTACCTTAAGGTTGGTTTTTTTTTACCTTGCTTTGGTTGCTAAGGTCTTTTGTGCAACAGTCTATGGATTCCTTAAGTAGAAAGAAAGAAAGAAAGAAACTGGTGTAAAGCTGATTCTCCAGAAAACAAAGGAAACATGTTTGATGGAAAAGTTGATCCATCTTTTGAGGTAAAGGCCTTCGCACGCCAGGTCCTTATTTTTCTTGCAAAACCATCACATGAAAAAAATACAGAGCTGGTGTGCAAAGACATTTACAGGAAATATTTTGGACACAAATTGGGGAAAGTGGGTCATTTGCATTTCAGGTGATTTACAGTAACTTGGAAAAACTTCTTGATGTGTAAAAATTGGAAATCAGTTGGACCCTCAGCGGCTCCATGAAGAGATGCTACAATCCTGGCATTCATAAACTGGCCTGGAGCTATGAACTCATCCCTCGATAGGTGGTCTGTTCTGTGTTTGCTTAAATCTTTAAAACCTGAGCAAAGTGGCGTGATTTGCTTCTAAAACATGTGAAGAATGCAACGAGCAACATTAGAAGAAATGGCCCCCAAAATAGCAAGAAATTAGATCAAAAGTTACAAAAAAATAGCAAAAAAAAAGAAAGAAAGAACAATTAAAAAACAAAAACAAACGAGGGAATGACCTTAACAATAATAATACATTTGTAAAATAATTAAAAAAAAAATATATTTATGATAATTATAAATAGTTTTGTGCACATTTAAAAAAATTTTTTTACAGATCTTCTAACTTCTTACAGTTTGTAGAACATTTCTTGCCAGGTTGCTCATTGCCTTTTTTCCCCATGTTTTTGAAAACAAAAATCAAACCAATTTGCTAAGGATTTAAAGGTTTATATACTTGTGAGGGGCGTCTGAACACAGTACCAAAAAGGTGATGTCACTCCAGGTTTCAAAAGGTTTTTTGTTTGGTTGGTTTATTTTGTGTGACTGCGATGTGTCCTTTTTGGATAATGTTGGTTATTTCACTTTCTTTGTTTCATTCCAGTGTTTTTTATCTCTTTGTACATATTTGTACCTTGATATAATAGTGGGTATTAATGTCTTGTCTGATAAATGGAAAAAATCTCTATTAATAAAGTGTTTAAAAAAGAAAATGAGAATATCTCTGTACTGTTATGAGTTCTTCATGATGTACCTGTAACCAGTAACAAAAGCCATGTAGGAAGAAGAACAAGACGACATGTTAATGTGATTCTGGACGTAAGAAAACACCAAATCACACTTAAATGACAGTCAGGATGAGCTCATTTTAAATAGTAAAATGTGGAAGCAACAATTAAAAGCTGCACGTGACACTTTGATATTTAGTCCTCTGTATCTTTGTGAGACGGCCGGCCTCTCTTCGCCCACCTGCTGCCATAGATATGCAAAACTCTACATGTGGAAGGTGTGTTATTGACTCACAAAGGTCAATTAAAGCCAGTAGCAACCACCTCAGCTCTTCCCTCTGAGAATGTGATAATGAGGTCCGGAGTTTAAGCTGATCAATTAATTCCTTTTTAACTGCCTCAACTGGTGCGTTTGTGTCTGCCAGTATTTAACAAGCTGCCTTTGGTGTGGCACACAATGGAGACACGTGCATACACACACCTCCAGAGCAGTTGACTTCTCAGATAATTGCCTCTTTCTTTTCAGAGCCTCTCATCGTGTCTCACTTCCTCTCCCACTATCAGTTTGTCAAGTTGTTTTCTATTCAAGCTGCTGGAGGAGAAAAACAGGGGGAATTTGTGCATTTGCATTGAGCGCTTGTGTCACTTGACTTAATTTCCACACACACACAGACACACAATACACGCAGAGACATACATCGGCAATTAAATTACTGCACCTCTCTCTGAGGCAGCCCGCCTCCGTCAAGTCCTCAGTGCTCCTTGGTAGGAAGAGTCGAAGACACACTGCAGCCCTACGAGGAACAAGGTAAACATGACTTTATTTATTCTTTATTTTTCTATTGAGCTGAACTGAATGGAGCAAAACTAACAGCTGTTACTGTTTGTTTGTTTCTAATGCATCAATCCTCTACTGTAACACTTATGACAGGCAGTGGGCTGAGAAGTATTCAGATCTTTTATCTGAGCAAAACTAACAGTTGTAGTAAGTAGCAACAGCACCACAATGTGAAAACACTCCATTCAAAATGTTATGTAAAAGTACATTTGTATTACCAGAAAAATGTCTCCTGTTGGTGTTATATTATCATCTATGTGTATGTTATTAGATTGGTATGTCAATAATGTGTAAGCAGCGTTCTGTATTACCATGTATACTGTAATGTTGGGTAGACTGAGCCATAGCAGTGCATTGTATTTTGCAAGATCAACATGGGTTTTGTATATAAATCAATACAGCAGAGTAATGCGACGTGTTATGTGGCCATATTGTATCTAGACAGGGACTCCACAAGTTTTTGTTTTTATTATATATTTTTGTATTAATGCAACGGAAATACAAATTAAACTTTTGGTAGCCTACTTGATTAATTAATAAAATCCATTGCTTTTTTCATTCCTCTAGATACATTTTGCTGCAATACAAACGGTTTACATAAAACCTTAATTAGTAGCCGGGATATTATTTTCTTAAATCACAGAAATCAACAGTCCTATATTTTGGGACAGGCCTTTAATTCCTTTCACACA